AAATCTGGAGCTGTCTCCACGCACATGTGGTTTGTCCACACATACATTCAGGTCTTTTTCCCAAGGCACCTTGGTCTTTCTCCACAAATATATGACTCTTCAACCCGCATGTTTAGGTCTTTCTCCGAAACACCTTTGTTGGTTTTAGTTTACTTCTGTCCATCCGGCATGATTTGTTGTATGGTTTTATAATACAGGTAGATTTAGACATACATTGACAGAAGGAGAAGGGGGGATGGGGTAGACAGTAGACACCCACTACGGTCGATGACGTAATACTTCAAGATAAATACTTGAAACTGTTGTTTATTTAGATGTTTTTTTTGTGTCAGGTGTCTTAAACTAGGTCAGTGTGTCTAATGTCTCAAACTAGATTATTATCTCATATGTCTTAATCTAGGCCTTTGTGTTAGATGTCAAACTAGGGCTTGTGTCAGAAAATTGGTTGTTCTGTATAACGTTGTCTCAAACTAAGTCATTATCTTCGTTGTCTTACACTAGGTCATTGGCTGATCTCTTAAACTAGGTCATTATCTCAGAAATCTGAGACTTATCGTGTACTTAAATTTATGGCTAATACTGGGTATTGAGCAAATAAATTGTTGGCTAAGTGATTTATTCAGTACATAATTAACCGGCTATGCGCCGTATTGAGTATACCATTAACCGGCAATTTAGCGTACATAATTAACCGGCTATGCGCCGTATTGAGTACACCATTCGCCGACAATGTGTGGTACACAATTAACCGGTTATGACCCTTACACACAACACCTTTAGCCGGCTAACTCGGGGTATGGAGTACACAATCTTGCTCACGATACGATAAGGAAAGATAACCCGGCTCCATCGAGTGCCAAAACAAACTCAAAGGGTTAATACAACCCACAACATATTTTTTTTTTCCAAAACGTTTTATTGATGTGTTGATGTGTGAGTCATTGCCCAACAGTCTGGCTAATTGACAGAACTACGCACATTTCATTGGCAATTTTTTAAACAGATCCTGCCACAATAACACAACGCAGGCGGCTATATACTCACACACCAGCCGTATTCTGTACTCAGCAGCAGTATTTTCCATAGCATCTCATGCACCCCCTAACTCCTTGCCCATCCTCTGCTATCACAGGCTGTTCACCTTTCTCTTATCTCATTGAGGTTACCTTACCCCTCCCAACCAAAGGCACATAACTCTTCCTTCTTCCAGTCAATTATTGTCTCCCCTTTCTCATATCAGTTACCACAATGAATACTCAGTCTTCCCTTGTTTAACTACCATTGTAAAAACGAACAAATACGATTCATTTCTTACTTCCCTTTTGCTCAGTAGCTTCCCCTGGTGGTTGTATAGTCCCATTAGTAAAACCCTGATTCCATGATGTATTTTTCTCTTTCGTTTTTTTTTTACCAAATTCCCCAAATAATGTTACCACAGTCTACCTGAGCTGTGCTAGTCTATGGAAAACTTTCACTAAATTTTTATCGGATACATTTTTTTTTTCAACCGTTTTTCTAACCTGCTCAAAGACTCACGGTAAGTTTGATTTTCTACAACCTTCTAATAAAGGGAGAGAATTTCCGCCAGGGGAGGTGATTGCTGGCGTTTGGTGTAGGTATAGAGGGATATCTTGGTCACATTTGGTGAAGGAATAGTGGGTAGGGTTTGGTGATGGGATATATTGATAAAGTTTAGTGTAAGATAGTAAGATTTCTTGATAGACTGTGGTGTAGGTATAGGAGGAAATCTTGACAAAGTTTGGGGTAGGTATAGGAGGAAATCTTGACAAAGTTTGGTCTAGGTATAGGAGGAAATCTTGACGAAGTTTGGGGTAGGTATAGGAGGAAATCTTGACAAATTTTGGTCTAGGTATAGGAGGAGATCTTGACAAGTTTTGTGTAGGTAAAGGTGTAAATCTTGAAAAAGTTTAGTGTAGGTATAGGAGGAAATCTTGACAAATTTTGGTCTAGGTATAGGAGGAGATCTTGACAAGTTTTGTGTAGGTATAGGTGTAAATCTTGAAAAAGTTTAGTGTAGGTATAGGAGGAAATCTTGACAAAGTTTGGTGCATGTATAGAGAGAATTCTTGATAAAGTTTAGTTGAGATATAGTACGATATCATGATAAAATGCGACGGAGGAAAACTGGAATAGTGTAGGTATAGGAGGATATCTTGGTTGAGTATGGTTCACATACGGGGGTGAAAGGTTGGTGTTGGTGGAATGGGTACTCATGTGGTACCTGGAACAAAAGGTGTTTTTGATTGGTTCCGGTGTTAGACTTCACGGAGAGGTAGCTCAGGATTCTGTTCAGTGAATCTTAAGTGTTAATGGATTATATATGTCGTGTTTTATTAGAGGCACCTGATAAGTTTATCTTCTTAGCGAACACACACACTTAGACATATATATATATATATATAAATATATATATATATATATATATATATATATACATATATATATATATATATATATATATATATATATATATATATATATATATATATATAGGCTTATATATTTAAATTATATATTTATATATCTGTGTGTCTATGTGTGTAAATTGTGTATCCGTTCACTACTACATCTATAAATGTACATATAAATAATGAATAAACAACACTACTTACAAAAGGATATGTACTTGCGTTAGTATAAAAATAAACATATACATATAATTGTGTTTAGAACATATGCCAAAAGTGTTGTTGGGCTGACGTCACAGACTGATATTCGCAGGTGTAATCAATTCGCTACTTTTTCTTTCTTGATTTTTTTTTTTTGTTTCTTCCTTCTTTGAGAGTGAGTGAAATATCACGGGGTTTAAAGGTCACGTGATTAGCTGTCTGCTCGTGTTTAGCGCGTGCATTCTGAGATTTGTGGCTGCAATGTTAGTTGGTGAAGAAAGTTGGGCTGGAAAATAGAAGCATGAGAGTGTTGGTGTCTGGGGAATGTTGTATTTTTTTGTAGTTGGTGTCTGGGGAATGTTGTTGTATTTTGTGTCTGGGGAATGTTGTTGTATTTGAGAGTTGGTGTCTGGGGAAGGTTGTTGTATTTGAGAGTTGGTGTCTGGGGAAAGTTGTTGTATTTGAGAGTTTGTGTCTGGGGAAAGTTGTAGTATTTGAGAGTTGGTGTTTGGGGAATGTTGTTGTATTTGAGAGTTGGTGTCTGGGGAAAGTTGTTGTATTTGAGAGTTTGTGTCTGGGTAAAGTTAGTATTTGAGAGTTGGTGTCTGGGGAAAGTTGTATTTGAGAGTTGGTGACAGGGGAATGTGATTACATTTGAGAGTTGGTGTTTGGGGAATGTTGTTGTATTTTAGAGTTGCTATGGGGAAAGTTGTTGTATTTGAGAGTTGGTGTCTGGGGAATGTTGTTGTATTTGAGAGTTGCTATGGGGAAAGTTGTTGTATTTGAGAGTTGGTGTCTGGGGAATGTTGTTGTATTTGAGAGTTGCTATGGGGAAAGTTGTTGTATTTGAGAGTTGGTGTCTGGGGAATGTTGTTGTATTTGAGAGTTGGTGTTTAGGGAATGTTGTTGTATTTGAAAGTTGGTGTCTGGGGAATGTTGTTGTATGTGAGAGTTGGTGTCTGGTGAAAGTTGTATTTTTTATAGTTGGTGTCTAGGATTATATTTCTCTATAGTGCTAAGGTCTTGGATAAATTAGAAGTTGGTTTGTTTGAATAAAAATGTATGCCTAGTTTTTTTTTTTTTTTAAAGTTTGGTTGTAGATTTGTATGATTGTCTAGGAAATGTAGCTAGACCCTTGATCTTCGTTCTAAACGAGTAAAGATTAATGTTTGGATTAAAGTTATTTGATTTGTATCTGAAAGTTCATCCAAAATTAGCCCAATCGTCATCATTACATACATCCCTTTAACACGCAGTTTCGGATAAACCATAGACGTTAACTAAGAGGTTTTCCAACAACATCGCTTTAACAAAAGTATGAAAATCCTAAAGCAATTGTAAATATTTTTAGGGTTATTTTCGTTTTACTTGCTCGGTCTGTATTTTTGTGTGTATATGTTAATGTGACAATGTCGTATGTTTCTGAATGTGTACACCGTACACTTTTGTACATGCAGTGCAGCACAATCTGAAAACATTAGCATAGACATTGAAACTACTTCAAAACAAAACTTCAATCTCCTAGAAGAAGTACCATGTTCTTTAATTATTTTGATCACTAAAATGTTCTTAAAACAGTTTTTAAAAAACATTTTTTTTAAAACTGTCTTATTTATGTTTACAAACATTTAACATTTACACAAACATATGATTAGATTGTAAAATTAGATTAAGTTATCTGCTTTTTTAATCTACTTTTCTTTTAATTTCAGTAATGATTTAATTTCGTTTATCGAAGTCTGCATGATAATGTTTCTTATGGATTTGATTCCCCCTAATTTAACAAAATGGGAGGGAGCTTGCCTAAACTCTCTCGTTTTTTTATTTATAATTGTAAAAACTGAGACATGCGAGTTTGAAACAAATCGAAAAATAAAAAGGAACGGTTTTAACATACAAAAGCTCGAAGTTCTTAGATACATTGTCAAGTTCTGGAAGTTTTTAAATATATTAATATACTAATTCCAGTTGCCGGAAATCGGTCACAAGTTATCAAAAACCTAAGCATATGTGAAATTTCGTCCTTAAGGTAGGCGGTACAAAAGTAATGAGGTTTACATGAAGTAGTTCCGCTTCCTGATGTGTATGTGGTGAAAACGGGTGTCTATGACGTCACTGTGTTGTCATCTTGTTGGTTACAGAGCAACTCTGCTACCTCTGCTCTTTAGATCACCAGGTCTCGAAAAGCACGTTAAAAATAATTCGTTTAAATGGTGTGGAAACGAAATAGTTATCGTAATTTTTAATAACTTTTTGGGTTGAAGAAATGTATGTATATATTTTCAGTCATGCAGTGTTTCGAAGTGATCTCAGCTATCTTTAACCACCAAAGTAGAGTACTGATTTCTTTTATTGTTTTTTTCTTTTCAGTAACGATGCCGACGACGCACGGGGGTTAAACGACCCCGTATCATCTCAAGCGGTCGCCGATCAGAAAGGTCAATCTAAAAATAACCACAACGCGAGGCCCCAGAAAACCCCTGACCGCGCCATCGACTTCCGAGCACGTGACCACGACTTCAACCAGAACAAATTTCTCCAGCCCTTCAGCCAGGACTCGTCCATCAGTCTGTCTGAGTGCCAGTACACCACATCAGCCGCGCCATCTTTGTCTGTCTTGTCCGAGTCTGCCTGGCAGTCTGTGTCTGTCTGCAGGTCCGAGTCCCCCACCCTCTGTCTCAGCGACCTCTCCCTGTCTTATGCTACGTCTTTCAGCGAATTCTCTCGAATAAAATCAGAAAAGTCGGAATCCAACGATTTACTCCGAGACTTTTCCGAGAATAAAAATAGTCCGAGTCAACTCGAAGAATCCGATTTTTCTAAACCTAACAAAGCGGAGAGTGGTTCGGATAAAGTTAGTTCCCCTGATGAATTACCTCCCCCTGACACCCATGTAACAAATGAAGATTCTCAAACAGAGCTGCTTGAGCAGACGGAGGACGAAATGGAGGCGCGCAGACGTCGTCGCCTGTTGGAGCGTATGTCTGGCATTTCCAGCGAGGATGCGCCGAGCTGGCGAACTAAAGTCTACCAGTCTGATGACAAGCAGAGCTCGCCCCGAGGTGAGGATTCTGGGAGATCTCGTGAGCACTCGAACAGATCACGTGAGGACGGGACCAGATCTCGTGAGGACGGGACCAGATCTCGTGAGGACGGGACCAGATCTCGTGAGGACGGGACCAGATCTCGCGAGGGCGGGGCCAGATCTCGTGAGGACGGGAACAGATCTCGTGAGGACGGGACCAGATCTCGTGAGGACGGGACCAGATCTCGTGAGGACGGGACCAGATCTCGTGAGGACGTGACCAGATCTCGTGAGGACGGGACCAGATCTCGCGAAGACTCGACGAGATCTGGAAAGGAAGGTTCAGAAACACCATCCCGAAGACGCCGGTCCGAAGACGTCACCAACGACTTAGCCGAGCGTTTGGCGAGGCGGAGGTTCCAGCGTCTAGAGGAGCAGGGGGACAGCTCCAGCCAGGATGGCTCCTTGGACCCGCTCCGGCAGCGGGACAGCCGCTGGAGCCGGGACAGCAGCGTGCGGTCTGCGGACAGTGGGGATAACGCCGACACGGATGAGAGAAGCTACCCGCGATGGTCGAGAAGAAATCAGGCGGAGAACGTTTCGAACAACGCCAATGGGGAGCGGGAAAACGGTGTTAGGAGAAGGAGCCGGGACAGCAACATTTCGGAAGATTGTGACGAAACTAACGACGATTCGGAAAGGTCATTCCGGCGCTGGTCAAGAAGAAAGGAAACTCCGAGTCACGAGGAGCCGGATGTTCCAAGCGAAAACAGGCACCGGAAATGGAGCAACGCTGACAGTTGTTTTGTCTCCGCGGAAAGCTCGATCGGTTTTCAGCAGCGCTCTGCGGACGGTTCGGATAGGGAAAATGAATCGAGGATGAAACAGTTGTCTAAGGACTCGGCGTTTTCGGAGTCGAGAGATGGGAACGACGACACGATCGTCAACTGCAACAACAACAACAACAGCGCCAACCTGCTGGCGGAGAGCACGACAGCCACTTCCGCTTTTCGTCGCCGCCGGATGCAGAATTATCTGGATGAGTGCGAAGAGATGGGCGAATCGTTCGCCGGGAACGTTCGCCAACAGCACAATCAAGATGGCGTCACATTCGCCAGCAACGGACACTCCCTTCACCAGCAAGATGGCGCCAAGGTGAAGGACAAACATCCGGGGTTGCCTGAGGCAGGTGACGTGGAGTCTAGTGTGGACAATGGGAGCAGTAGCTCTGACGTCACTTCCTTCGCCGAGAGCTTTAAGGCGAGACTGCTGCGCCTAAGGGGGGAGCAGGCGGAGGAAAATGGCGCCAACAAGCCTTCATTGCAGGTGAGGTATCTCTCTTTTAACAGCTCAGGTGAGCAAATCATTTCAGGTAATATAAAGCTATCGCCAATGGTGAAACGTATTCGTTACATGTAGTGCATAGGAATCATTTGATACAAGCAGGGCCGTCAGCACAGGTAAAATAGCAGTCGTTTAGGACTAGACAAAGCCACATCTTAGACGTGCATCATGAGGTTTAAGACAGACATGATTAGATTTAAGACAGACATTATTACATGAAAGACAGACATCATTGTAGGTGAAACATAGACACTATTACAGGTAAGACAGACAAATGTACAAGTAAGACAGAAAAATGTACAGGTAAGACAGACAAATGTACAGGTAAGACAAATGTACAGGTAAGACAAATGTAAGGTAAGACAGACAAACGTACAGGTAAGACGAATGTACAGGTAAGACAAATGTAAGGTAAGACGGACAAACGTACAGGCAAGACAGACAAATGTACAGGTAAGACAGACAAATGTACAGGTAAGACAGACAAATGTACAGGTAAGATAGACAATTGTACTGGTAGACAGACAATACAGACAAATGTACAGGTAAGACTGACAAATGTACAGGTAAGACAGACACATGTACAGGTAAGACAGACAAATGTACAGGTAAGACAGACATATGTACAGGTAAGACAGACAATTGTACAGGTAAGACAGACAAATGTACAGGTAAGACAGACAATTGTACAGGTAAGACAGACAAATATACAGGTAAGACAGATAAATGTACAGGTAAGACAGACAAATGTACAGGTAAGACAAATGTACAGGTAAGACAGACAAATGTACAGGTAAGACAAATGTAAGGTAAGACAGACAAACGTACAGGTAAGACAAATGTACAGGTAAGACAAATGTAAGGTAAGACAGACAAACGTACAGGTAAGACAGACAAATGTACAGGTAAGACAGACAAATGTACAGGTAAGACAGACAATTGTACTGGTAGACAGACAATACAGACAAATGTACAGGTAAGACAGACAAATGTACAGGTAAGACAGACAAATGTACAGGTAAGACAGACAATTGTACAGGTAAGACAGACAAATGTACAGGTAATACAGACAAATGTACAGGTAAGACAGACAAATGTACAGGTAAGACAGACAAATGTACAGGTAAGACAAATGTACAGGTAAGACAAATGTACAGGTAAGACAGACAAATGTACAGGTAAGACAGACAAATGTACAGGTAGACAGACAATACAGACAAATGTACAGGTAAGACAGACAAATGTACAGGTAAGACAAATGTACAGGTAAGACAGACAATTGTACAGGTAGACAGACAAATGTACAGGTAATACAGACAAATGTACAGGTAAGACAGACAAATGTACAGGTAAGACAGACAAATGTACAGGTAAGACAAATGTACAGGTAAGACAAATGTACAGGTAAGACAGACAAATGTACAGGTAAGACAGACAAATGTACAGGTAAGACAAATGTACAGGTAAGACAGACAAATGTACAGGTAAGACAAATATACAGGTAAGACAGACAAATGTACAGGTAAGACAGGCAAATGCACAGCTAAGACAAATGTACAGGTAATACAGACAAATGTACAGGTAAGACAAATGTACATGTAAGACAGACAAATGTACAGGTAAGACAGACAAATGTACAGGTAAGACAAATGTACAGGTAAGACAGTCAAATGTACAGGTAAGACAGGCAAATGCACAGCTAAGACAAATGTACAGGTAAGACAGACAAATGTACAGGTAAGACAAATGTACAGGTAAGACAGACAAATGTACAGGTAAGACAGACAAATGTACAGGTAAGACAAATGTACATGTAAGACAGACAAATATACAGGTAAGACAGACAAATGAACAGGTAAGACAAATGTACATGTAAGACAGACAAATGTACAGGTAAGACAGGCAAATGCACAGCTAAGACAAATGTACAGGTAAGACAGACAAATGTACAGGTAAGATGTGAATAGATGAGCAGTGAATGTTGCTTTCATTGGGCTTATGGGAAAATAAACATGCTTGTAGCACGTGATTCAGGTAAACTTTTTAAAGGGTTGGTTTTTAATGTGTTTTCGTAACGTTTTTGTTGTGGGTGAAGGTTAATAGTGTTAGAAAGATGGAAGAGGGACGTAGGCGAAATAGAACGACGGCAGGATGACAGTTGTGTAATAACGACGGTAGAACGACGATGGTAAAATAACGACGGTAGAACGACGATAGGAAAATAACGACGGTAGAACGACGATGGTAAAATAACGATGGTAAATCGACGATGGTAAAATAACGACAGTAGAACGACGATAGTGGAATAATGATGGTAGAACGACGGTGGTAAAATAACGATGGTAGAACGAAGATGGTGGAATAATGACGGTAGAACGAAGATAATTGAATAACGACAATAGGAAAAAGGCGGAACAAAGTGAATTACTAAAATAGCATAATAGAGTAGATGTGAAACGGAAGCGTTAGTCAAAATACAACTTAAGCTGCCACAGTTAATTAAAGCCGTTGAGCTTGTACATGTAAATATAACTGAGTTTAATTAAGACTTATCAGTGTCTGTGGGATGATAGTCTCGCTTGACATGTAGGGTGTTGTTTATAAACGATTTCCACGTCAGTTTTAAATGAATGTCCAGTTGGTATTTTTTAGTACGACATTTTAAGAAAGTTCTCATGGTGGTCTCTGAGTAGCTTTGAATCAGATTGTTGGAGATTTTGACAAGTGATGTTCATGTCTGTCTGGCTTGAAAGTAACGTTGGTTTTGAACAAGACAAACACTCAACGTATTAAAAATTAAAAATCGATAAACTTTTGTTTTATCCACCCTGTAGAGTTAGCTTAGGTTAGCCTGTTGTTTCTCCTAGGACATAGGCCGCTTACATGAGCATTCCAGGCTTTCTGTCCTGAGCTAGTCACTATTTACAGTACTGGATCCAATATGATACACAAATCAATCTACTCTCTCCCAGGCCAATGGGGACAGTTCCACCCCTCCTGCCAGTCGGGCGGATCTTCGTACTGACGAATCGCCGGGGAAACAAGAACACCCTGGTGTAGAGGCAGTAGAGGGAAGCTCCGCTGTGAAACCCAGGAAAAAACGTGAGGACAAATCGGCGGCCCGGAAGTCTGCTCTCAACATGGCAACTGGCGACTCCAGCGACGGTAAGTGTGTGGGGTGTGTGGGTGGGTGGGTGGGTGAGTGGGTGTGTGTGTGCAGTGGCGTAGCCAGGATCGTCTCAAGGGGGGGGGGGGTTACAATTTTTACAAACTTTCGATTTGCACCCCCCCCCACCCCTCAGACTTTTGATTTGCAACCCACTCATACTTTATATATATACCGAGGGGTCCATGGGGGGTTATGACCCCCCTAACCCTCCCCCTGCCTACGCCACTGTGTGTGTGTGTTGGGGGGGCTGATATATTGGTCAAGTGGTCTCAATCTGCCCAACGTGTACACAACGTACACACTTTTTGTTTTGTACAAGTTGTGTACCTTTGAATGCAAATCACACGAAAACTAGTATTCTTGTACATGCATTACATCTCGTAACTACTGTACGTATTTCTCATGTACCTTTGTGCATAATCCATGTGTACTTGTATACTTTGTGCATCAGCTATTACCTATTTTAGATTATCTTTTAGTTTGTACACATTTACTACCTTGCGTACATTCGTAAACACACCGTACAAAACAATTGTTTTTCTCTTCCGTTCTCTGTGTACACAAGCTAACTTGTACACACAGCGAAGACACAGTGTATATGTACAAAAATCTTACACTTCCTACTAATGTGTAACATTTTTAGACGTGTATATGTGTGCACACAATAACTAATACACATGTCTTTTACATAGAATGTAACACCTTTATGTATTATGCTATACATGTACATATGCCACTATATATGCACACACTTACCTGTGCAAACCAAACTCAACACGCCAAGCTCATAACTCTTGAGCTTAAACCTACACGCCGAGTGCATGAGTTTAGCTAAACACAAAAAAAACAACACATTTAGCTCTGAAAAATAAATGCGTGTGTGTTTTCTAAAGAAGAAATGCGATCACATAGTCTTGGGAAAACTCACTAGATTTTTCTCTTAACTGTGTTTCATCTTAACTGTTTTATTCTGCTTTACTCTAGGTTTTAAAGCTATTTCTCAAATTTCCTTTTAAGTATTTGTAATACTTTATTATAATCAGCTTGTTTGCTTTTAAAATCCCGAGTTATCGCCCACAAACATTTAGCGAGTAGTTGCCCTTGGCCAGTACAAGCCTTAATGTTTTTATCAACAATGTTCAAAACAAAGTTTGATGGCGTGGGTTGCTAGTGGTAGACTAAACTCTCACGTTTACATGGGATTTCTTTTCATAGAGGAATCAAATCTAAGCCAGAGGGAACATTAGTGACTCAAAGTAGGTCAACTGTCTGAAACTTCAATGGAAGCTTATCGCGATAAACCTCTGGACAATGGCTTGGCTGACGTCACAAAAGGTTTGGTCCGTTTGAGAGTATTGTTGGGGTGACGTCAGCCTGATTTTTATCTTGGTAGTAAGCTTTAAAGATAAACATGGCTTACACTAAGTGAACGTGGCTTATGGTGATATAGTCGCTAATATAAACATTTCAATGTAGTCGCTAATAAAACCATTTCAATGTAGTCGCTGATATAGAGATTTCAATGACATTTGGGTACTGTTGGTTTAACGTTATATTTTTTGAATTTTTATTTAATTCTATAATGTTGATATTGGTGGTTAGCTCTATAACTGTGATACTGATGGCTTAGCTCTATAATTTTGGTACTGATGTTTTAGCTCTGTAATTTTTTTATGTTTTTTTTAGCTCTGTAATTTTGGTACGGTTGTTTAGCTCTATAATTTTGGTATGGATATTCTTGCTCTATAATTTTGGTACGGTTGTTTAGCTCTATAATTTTGTTATGGTTGTTTTAGCTCTATAATTTTGGTACGGTTGTTTTAGGTCTATAATTTTGGTACAGTTGAATTAGAACTATGCCAAAGACTGATGCTAGTTTTATGATAATGTGTTTATATACGGCTGGGATTTTACTTAAGCTTTGAACAAGGATATCACTCAACTCACATGAGCGAATTCCATTTTGTAAATTCAAAATTTTGGCAGGTGGCGGAGGAAGCGATATGTCAATTCTGACACTTTAATTATAAAGATATTAGAAAAGATTTTCTACGAACTTGTTCACGGCTTCCGTCTATTAAACAGTTTTTAATGTCCTAGTGAGATAAAACGAGACGGCGTGGCCTAGAGGTAGAGCATTAGACTGCAACCCCGTCTAGAGTTCGAATTTGGGTACAAGTCAGGTGAACGTCCATGAGTCCACCCAGCTGCTGATGGGTACCTAACTCTTGTTAGGCAAAGTAAAGGCGGATGGGCATGGTGCTGACCACACTATCCCTTCATATGTCGAGGTCACAGAAAAAGGTGAACTCTATTTCACCATCAGGTTCGAAAAGGGATCTGCTTTTACTGTGAAAAAAAAAACACATTTAATTATTTTACAAGAGCAAAGGTGAAAAAAAGCTTAAATCGGGTTAAAGAAGCGAAGCAAGAAAATAAAACGCCATCACCAACTCTCCTAGATGATGGGGGAGGGGGGGGGCGTCCATCCACGAGACAATAAATCCCTAGCATGATTTGCAATTATGGATGCTTATGACGTAGGATTTAATGGCACCGCATAAATATACAAGGAACAGTAAAATTTGGAAGCCCACAATCTTTTGTTGAATACAGAACACCTAGTTATTGGGGCGTTAGGGTCTAGATGGTCCGGGTCACCGTGACCCAGAACAGGCTGACCTGACACGTGCTGCCAATTGTTCAGGAAGTGAAGGCACCAGTCTGTTGTTTACCAACCCAGGTCGCAGAATTGGGTCGCTACTTTCCGGTTCCGCCAGAAATAGAGGAACGGCGTTTGTTGTTGTAGGTATATGGTAGGGGTGGGCAAGGTATAAGGCAGGGGTGGGCACGGTATAAGGCAGGGGTCGCAAGGTATAAGTCAGGGTTGGCAAGGTATAAGTCAGGGTTGGCAAGGTATAAGGAAGGAATGGGTTACATGGAATCAGAAAGGGGCACACATAAATTTCCAGGAGGGAGAGTGGGGGGGGGGGGCGGACACTTGTTAAAAGCATGTATTTTTAATATAATTATATAATGGCGGTGGCAGTGGATGTGCTTCAGGGGGCACTAACCCAAAGAGATGCCGGAAAGAAACTGAGGTATAAAGGATCCATAGGTCAGGGGTCGGAAAATTGAAATACATGGATCGACAACAAGTCCGTTAATTAATTATTGTATATACAAATTTTAAGTGCCATACCGAAAGCGTTTTGTTAATTATGTTACTTCGACCTTATCTGGGGTTAGCTTTGCGTGAATGAATCGCCAATAGGTTTCAACATTTCGGTTTCTTTTGGACAATTTAAATTGTAAAAGTATGATTCTAATCTTAAAGGAAGAAAACGTGTACCTACCATTCTTACGGCTATGCTGTGCTATTCACCTAACATTTTTTTTTAAAGTAACTAAAGTGTCACCTCCACAATGATTCTCGCATGACGAGTTATTTTTAAGACCTGTATCCATATACCGTACACTATGCTAGTCGCTACAAAAAAAAAACAACCCCAAACAATTGTTCACTCCAGCTTTTATAACCGCCCTCTCCACCTTGGGATAACTATATATGAACACCCCGGGTTAACTCAACTCACACACGCAGTCTCCCCTAAGTTCTAGACTATTTTAAGCTAGCCACAAACGACCCGTAAGTTGATGATCTTCTCGAGGAACTGTGCAACCCTATTATGATACAGCAATGTTTTCTTTGTCCTTGCAATATGTATTTCTCCTACTTCAGGATCATATCTCATGTTCCTACTCTACTTTGTATAGTACTTTATAAATTGAATCTTCGATTTAGTCGTAATTGTAATGTTGGAAGAAGGATTACCTCCAATACAACTAACTATTACGTGTCAACTTGTTTTACGTCGTATAGACCGAAGACTGATTTCAGCCTGTTTTATTTATGGGTTTGGTTCCATAGCGTTTGTCCAACCAAGAACAAACTACAAGGCAGCAATTGTTTAATTTTGGAGTTGTCTCATTGTCTCTCCTAGAAGAGTGGCTGTCCCCAGCTATCGTGTCTCATCTGCCGGGGGTTCGAACTCGGAACTTTATGGTTTAGTAACCATGAGCTTTACCGACCCGACACATGCCGAGCGGGCTTTCATCTATTCATAAGCGTTAGGCTACCGTACGGGACCTTCATCCTACCAACACATAAATAAACTAAAAAAATAGAAATATATTATGTTGCTGTAAACGGCGTAACTTTAAGATGCCGGGGATATGGTGATTAAGGTAAATAAAAAGTAATGTAATAAATCTGTAATATCTTGGTCCGGTTATGGTGATGATAAACATACTTAATGGATACAAGATAAAGGCGTATATTTTTATCATACAGAAACTTGGCAGATAGTCCACTAATGGAAAATATACAGTCTATTTATAGCGTATTTATGTCATTGGTTGATCTAAAAAAAAATATTAGGGTAATTCTATTTTACGAATTGAACATATTTGACTAGATTATGTTGGTTAGTGAATACACCTTCAGGCGTAGATGCAGGTGTAAGTGTAGTTTAGGTTTAGGTTTAGGTTTAGGTTTAGGTTTAGGTTTAGGTTTAGGTTTAGGTTTAGGTTTAGGTTTAGGTTTAGGTTTAGGTTTAGGTTTAGGTTTAGGTTTAGGTTTAGGTTTAGGTTTAGGTTTAGGTTTAGGTTTAGGTTTAGGTTTAGGTTTAGGTTTAGGTTTAGGTTTAGGTTTAGGTTTAGGTTTAGGTTTAGGTTTAGGTTTAGGTTTAGGTTTAGGTTTAGGTTTAGGTTTAGGTTTAGGTTTAGGTTTAGGTTTAGGTTTAGGTTTAGGTTTAGGTTTAGGTTTAGGTTTAGGTTTAGGTTTAGGTTTAGGTTTAGGTTTAGGTTTAGGTTTAGGTTTAGGTTTAGGTTTAGGTTTAGGTTTAGGTTTAGGTTTAGGTTTAGGTTTAGGTTTAGGTTTAGGTTTAGGTTTAGGTTTAGGTTTAGGTTTAGGTTTAGGTTTAGGTTTAGGTTT